TTTATTGAAAATTTGTATTTCGGTGTATTTAAAAATACATGACATCGGTATGTAAATAATCGACTCTAAACCAGACAATCCAGTGATTGACATCATGAGCATAGACCTATTCAATTAGGATATGTGTTAACCAAGTCAGCAACCCTGACTCGATCCCGCTAAATGCCTCTTGCGACAGGCCAATTCTAACCCTAATCTTCACGGTTTTATGCATGAAAAAAATCGTCGCACAAATCTTCAGTGAAACTTACTGCAGTCCTTGTAGCGCACCTCCGTCTTGTAAATTCCTGAAAAGGATACAACCTATCAACACCAGCATGTTTCGTAATGTTCATGATGATATCAGATTTCAACATGATAAATACACGTCACCCCTCATCAATACGATGTTTGAGCTGACAAAGATTGATATTCGTATTTCAATGTCTCTAATTCCAGGGGCGTAGCTACCATTATGAAAAAAAAGTCCGGGCTTACACATGATTGTTTTTAGCTTTAAAAGGTTGGGCAAGCCCTCGATATACTATCTAAATATAAAGATTTGGCAACCCATCGGGCTTACACGAAACATTTGGCTTGCTACGCGCCTGAATTCTTAGAAGCGTTTTATTTCTGTTTCTTCAAGTCACTTGCGCAGTCCAATATTCACGTGTAGCTGTGGCATATTCAAAGAATATACCCCTAATTTGACCATGTTTCGCACTGGAGACAGGACGCATAACAAAATAGGCAACTGGCTCATTTCCGGACATGCGCAGACCATGAATGGAATAAATGCGTTAAATGATCGTTCCAAACTTTCACTGCTTAGTATGACTATTGCGTATTGTTTAATCCCAATATCCACCTGTTAAGAAGATCAAACCTGTACCATATTGGTGAAGTTATGTGACAGTATTGTTCGAAATTTCATAAGAAAACATATGGAAAGAAATGGCCCCGGAAGGCTTCCACGGGTTTCCGTCACTACCGGTTGAACATTTACGAGAATACAAGAGAAACTGACTATTTGTTTCAGTGTTACGTGTTTGTTTTAATGAGAATATTCATGGATATTTTGAAACAACAACTTATGCACAACTTACGCACCACTCCGAATACGGTACAGGTAACTCGACATTATATTTATACCAAGTTCTCCCAAGTAATACCACGTTACCACATAGGCTAAGTGATAAGCTTTAGAATATTATCGAGAACATTACACATTGACGTTGACATTAGATTATGATGATGATGATGATGATGCCGATGATGATGATGAGGAGGAGGAGGAGGAGGATGGCGAGTTACCTGTAGCTCCAGCACCTGCCCCAACTGTACCAGCCACACCTGGTCTTGTACGCTTCCAGGTAGTACTGCAGGTAGGAACACCTGTATAAAACAGTGACACGGTATTAACGCCAAGCCAAAAGCGGCTGCTAAAACTAACTGGACCTTCATTGAATGAATACTGAATGGAACCACTATAATTACTGTATCGACATACCGGATATGCACTCAGTCTGAATGATTGTCTGTTTGTCTCTTTGACGTTCAGTCAATATACAAATATTGTTTATAACATAAACGTTCATTTCTCAGTAATTGTCTGCAGTCATCCCAGGCACACTAATGTTTAGAGATGCTGAAATGGTTAGAATAACAGGGGAGTAAAACGTATACGTCTTTCGTGAGAAAACAAGCATTTCGATTCTTCAGCTTGGCATCCTATCTGACACGTGAAGATCATGTTGGAATTGGCTTGTAAGTGGCGACTAACGGGACCGGATGGTCAGGCTCGCTGACTTGGTTGACACGAAATTCATATCCAATTGAGTAGACCGATGCTCATGCTGTTGATTCTTGGATTGTCTTTACAGACCACCGCTAAATAGCTGGAATATTGCTGAGTGCGGCGTAAAACTAAACTCACTCACTCACTTGACATCCTACCTGACATTGGTTTGTGTTAACTGTGACGGTTGTCTATCTGTTTGCCGCTGTAGTGAGTGAGTAAGTATGGTTTTATTCCAGCATTATCACGGCGGATGACACCACAAATGGACTTCGCACGTCATACCCATGTGGGGAATCAAACCTGAGTCTTCAGCGTGACAAGCGAACGTTTTAACCACTAGGCTACCCTACCGTCCCTTTATCTGATTCAGAACAAAGTCTGAGGTTGTCATATAAGTCCCTCAATTATAACATTTAGTCATTTTGATACAACCTTAAGGTGAATATGACAATAATGAGTCAAATATCAATCCTCACTGGCTCACCACATATTTTACTTATAGTACAGGCTTCTATCCTTCTTAATGAAGTGAGGGGCGGTGGGGTAGCCTAGTGGTTAAAGCGTTGGCTCGTCACGCCGAGGACCCGGGTTCGAATCCCCACAAGGGTACAATGTGTGAAGCCCATTTCTGGTGTTCCCCGCCGTGATGTTGCTGGAATATTGCTAAAAGCGGCGTAAAACCAAACTCAGTCAGTCAGTCAGTCAGTCAGTCTTAATGAAGTGAACATTTGTAACAAAGCCAGATGTAAACACGATAATTAACCATCTTGTTACCCCACCGCCCCGCTTTCATTATGAACTATGCCATGAGTGAATTTTCACCGCTCTTTTGATTTTATTGCTAAAAGAACCCGTTGCGGTGGATAACCAAGACTGGTTAATTTCTGGCCTTGACGTTTTATGTTTGAGAATTCGACTGTACCTCATCTCTCCCTATAAGCGTGACTCAATTCTCACTGATACGCGTGACTCGAATACGGACAGGCGTGCGTGACATGGCTTTAATATTGCGATCATGGCGTAAAACAACATTTACTCACATACACAGAAACAATTCCATGAAAGATTGACGTAAAGAAAAACATACCTGTCTGCAGCGGAGACGTGGCCGGCTGCAACAACCACCAAGAGCACGAAAGTCACTACAACGATGTTCATTGTGAAAGGCCTTCACAAATGTTCCTATCTCTTGCATTGCAAACTGTCCTTTTATAAACGAGGTAATTGCCAACCAGAGTATTGAATTCTGCTGACATATCTTCTACTCACGTGCTTCTGACAAATGTCTATATTTTGCATGAGAGATATGTATTATTGCTCTCTGTGTTGTCTTTGATAGGGAGATCTATTTCGAAAGGTCTTCATGATCGGCCATCCTGACCGCCATAATGTCTTCACTCCGCACCAACGCGTAGGTATAATAGCGTCATGGGAATGGACACAGATATGACTGTGGGCCAATCATGTTCCTCGCTCCGTTGAACCCATCTTCTACAGACATTTAATAAAGACGATCACAGTAATATGATAAACAGAATGAACAATATTGGCCGTTAGAGGAATATTATTTCCAAAACAAACATTTTCTGATATGTTCTATGGGACAAAGTCACATTTCAGTCATAGTGCGCGTCCATATGCCCTTACATATTCATATATAATTTGTTTTGAGTAAAACCCACACGGTGGTGGCTCATTTCTGCTGACGTCATAAAGCAGAATTGTTTTTAGTGTGAAATATATCATCGACATCGAGAATCATATTGTGTTTTACCCATGTCATAGATAGTTCCGAGAAGACAGAAGGCATGTGGATTTTATGAACTCTCTTAGTTTCAAATGTCTCATATATTTCAATGATACAATCATGGTAAATGACTAAATTCACTTTGATTAAACTTTCACAATCGTCATTTTATAGCTTGTAATACCATTATCACCGAAAACCTGATGATACACCGACATATATTTTGTTTAGACGGTAATATAAGTATACATTAATGAAAAACGTCCCATTTCATACGGTATTTCAACGTGTGACCCAAATGGATTATTTTACAGCAAATTGTATTTATTATATCTATACTATATACTACTACATAATTTATGCTACTGCTATTTGAGGATACGAACGTGTAGGATGAAGTTTTAAAAAATTGTTTCGTTGCTGAAGTGAGTAACCCAAAAAGACAAATACAACGTATTCAAATTGAAACCAGCAAATCTCTGCTAACTAAATATTTTTTGTCAAGCAATTCAGGATAAAGATAAACCAGAAGCGCCTCTTATCCAGTGGTTTATGTACAAATATACTATATCGTTGTCCTATTTTTCCAATAGGTCCTGTAGGTCTCGCGGGCGCTACTTCCGGTACTTAGCTGATTCCAGGTTCCCTTTGCGCCAACTTGCGTTATGAGAGACGGGACCCAGCTTACTTCCGATACCAGAATTCCGGGATGACAAGCGTATATTCAAGAACCAGTTCTGGTCCCAAATTGCGCGACCGCCAAATATGACTTTACTAGACCGGACCAAGTGTACAACCATGTTTGGCTGTCACAGCTGTCGACAGTCGTAAAAGTGGGTTAATTTGGGATGGTTAGATCAGAAATTTATTCCTGCAAGGATTATCGGTTCCTCCTGTCAACTGACAACCATGAGGCCATTTGAAAAGGTATGAAACGTTGTTTGTCACCGGAAGTACCAAGGTCTCGGAAGTGCCGTGACTTACTTACGGGCCCTATTTATCTTAACTCCCTTAGGTGTTGTAAACAAAAAACGTTCACACGCTATCTTCAAGAGAATGGAAACGTTTGCTTACGTTCTGACTGGTTGAGACACTACATATATATGTTTGATATTAAACCAACAATCAACGATCCGTTGACATGAACTAGTATCTGTTATATTTCAAATGGGGCAAAGTTTTACTCATTGCACAGAACAAATATTGTTCTACCACGCTAAAAGCATATTATCTGAAGTCGATCCTTCTGTACTTGAACCAGTGCCATAACGGGATCGGGTGGCCAGGCTCGCTGACTTGGTTGACAAATGTCATCGTGTCCCAATTGCGTAGATCGATGATCACTGGATTGTCTCGTCCAGGCTCGATTATTTACAGCCCGCCGCTATATGGCTTGAATATTGCAGAGTATGTTGTCTATCAAACGGAATTGCACAACCCATTCTGCTTTTGACAAAGAATTCTCATAATTTGAAAGGGTTTTATCGCTTTTATTTTGATCACTGGCACAAAAGTGTACACGTCAATACTGTACGGTATCGTCCGGGGTTTCCCGAGTACAAAGTCAGGAACTTTCATAACGGTGTAGGAATCTAGAATCTTGCATTCTCTTCCGGTAGACGTCATCAAACGTTGCCTTCTGTCCTGGCGTAAACATGTTTTTCCAGTCTCCCACCGTACCTGCATGGAGAAGTGTCATCATGAGACAGTGGAAGTGAAACCTGTTTTCGTTGGCCCAGGTTTTCCTGGTCCGATTACCTTCACCGTCGTCTTATCATGCGATGGGTTAATAATGTATTTGGTTTATACTGTACTCCATGTATCCCCCGGCATGTTAGCTCTGTGTTAAAGGATAGACCAATATGATAGAGATATGGAGAATACTAGACGATGTCCCGTGTAATACCAAATTTATGAAACGAGTGAATGGTTTGGTATCTATTACACGGGACATCGTTTAGTATTTTGTTTATTACGCACCCAACATTAGCAAAATTACGTCTCAAAATTCAACTTACAAAACGAGTACATTACGCCGTCATAACATAGTTCACGCGTATGAATACATTTCATTTATGATTGTCAACATTAGTCTATTTAAGTTCTTCTTTCTTCAAACAATAATGGGGTATGAAAAAGTAACCAAATGCCTTCAATCAACATATTATTTTCTTATATAAATGCTATTACACTCAACCGAGCAAAGAACAGTTAACTATCGCGACTTCGAGATGTGTTGTGAATGACAGCCGACATTTTGTTTTAATCACGTTACTTTGGTCATGTGACCGAGTGCAAATAGTTCCGGCAGCAAAGATGTTATTACACAATGTGGTGAGTAATTATCATTTTTATCGTGTATACGAGCATGGGTATGGCCCTTAATTGTGTCTTTTATGAATGTATGCATTTTACTTAATATATTAATTAATTATCCAAATTAAACGATTTACAATTAATGGTTTATGCTACTTGATTTCGAAACCTCTGTTTAAATAAGAAATCAAGCGCTTTTGCGTATGCAAATACAATTAATCGTTTGTGTGTTTTTCCTTCTTGTCCGAATTACAAACCTTTCTATATTGGCCCAGACTTGCATTCCATTTGTCTCCTATCTTATCCTTCTGACTCTTCATTGTACTGAATGCAGACTTATATACAACTTTATCTATGAAATCTTCCGTAACGCGAGTATCAAGGAATGTTGCCAGTTTTCGTACCTCTTCGAGTGGATCCTGAAACAAATAACAATACATATTTCATGATCTCTTATACCAGAGTGAGTGGGTTTTAGGTGGGTGGGAATTTAGTGAGTGAGTATGTGAAGTTTGAAGAGTGTTCAGAGTATTCAGGAAGTTCAGGACGAAAGCCCATCGGGTATTTATTACTTTGGTGGTGAAAAATTCGAACATGGGAGTTGTGCTGACAATCCTAGAAATATGAAGGGCTGGAACCAGGATTTGTATCCATGTCCTAGGTTTCTGGCGTGCTCAAGGGACGCAACTCGGCTCAGCGAACTGCGGCGCCTTCGACGACAAGCCCCTTATACAAACAACAGATCTAGAGTTATGGAGATTCAGGTTAAGAATATGGACCAGCAACACATGGTCGTATGAGACAATGGATGCCAAATAACAGAAAAGTGATGCATCTTTACAATTTACAGAATCAGATCATTTAATCTTGGTGATTCACAGATACTATTCACAATTGAATCACACAATTAGAACCTACCTACTGAACCAATTGAACATACCGTCCTCTAGTAATAAGAAAGATTCATGATGTTCTTACTTCTTGCAATATCAAACAATTGTGTAATCACATCAAGTCGCGACAGTGACAATACGTGCCTTCCAGCATGATGACCATGACCAACTCTTATGATCTGACAAAGATTCGGGTTCATTTCTGGGCGCCACATTGTACATGAACGTCTGGATACTGTCAAGTCACAATGGAATTTGTGAAACTACCTACTTCCCCCAGTTGAAATGTCAAGGACCCCTGAAGCACACCGCATAGGTGCATGGTATGAAATTTGAAAATACCTTTTTAAGATCTTCATAAAACACAATGTGCAGAAGGCGTGGATCCTTTGATTCATATTCTTTTTCAAATGAGCGAATGTGATCAAACCACGTACTCCACATAACTGTAATGTGAAGCAAAAAGTTAAAAATGGATTTAACGAATATTGAATAGATGACATACGCAGAGACTCCGTGGACTCACACAATGGCATAAACCGAGGAGTTAAGTAAATCCATCTGTCTAACTCAAACTCATTTTTGGTCTTTGATCGGCATTTTAGAAGTTGTAAAGATGAAGGAAAACCAAGTTTTATGGATAGTCAACTTCTTATTGCAATGAGTGCGACGTTTCGGTGTTGGTACTGACACTGTTATATAGCAAGTCTGACTGAGTTTGGTTTTACGCCGCTTTTAGCAATATCCCAGCAACATCACGGCGGGGGACACCAGAAATGGGCTTCACACATTGTACCCATGTGGGGATTCGAACCAGGGTCTTCGGCGTGACGAGCCAACGCTTTAACCACTAGGCTACCCCACCGCCCCTATATAGCAAGTGATACAAAGAGTTGAAACAAGGAGAATATATACATAGCTGCATATTTCATCTCCTCGGGATATCACCACCTAATCAAAGACAACCGCAAGTTATCCACCCATACCTCCCTTATCCATCTGGCTTCCACGCTTACATTTGTGAATTGTAATCACAACCAATCACAATGTACTTCAACCTACTTACTAATTATCATCACATTGTACATCAAACTCACCATTGTATAAACTCACCTCTCATCACAACCAATCACTCTGTACATCAACCTACTCTGCTCAAATCACTAATTAGCAATCCAATGTACATCAACTTTGTCAATTGTATATACACACCATGCAGCTATGTATATACTCTCCTTGTTGCAACTCTTTGTATCACTTGCTTGATAACGGTGTTAGGGGTGGGTATTGCAGAGAATTTTCATATTGCGATGCGAAAGCATATATTGCAATATGTATTGCAATATATTGCAAGAAGGGTTTTTTTAACAAAAAACTACTTATAATCGAGTTAATGCTTGATTTATAAAGCGAAACCACAACAAAATCACTAGGCTTGATTAAGCTTTAATAGCAACTTTTAATCATGACAAAATGAAAATGTATATAATGTTTGGCACAAATGAAACAAGGAAAGGAATAATTTATAAAACGGAAATATCCGAAGATTTACGAGTGTCACGAAGTTTTTCCGAATGCATGTCAAAATACCGTTTTTTGATCAGCGTATCGCAATACGTATCGTTTTCATGCCCGAACCGGTAAATACCGGTATACGGGTTATATTGCGCAGCCCTAGTGTTACACCAAAACGTCGCACTCATTGCAATAAAGAAGTTGACTATCCATTGAACTTGGTTTTCCTTCATCAAATGACATTGATAAATTGTTAGTCAATTACCCACATTGCTCACTCAGGAACAGATGTATCCAGTCATCCCAGGATCCCTGATATGTATTGTTGGGAAAGGATGTGTAGTAGTGGAACCAGGACACCGCTACATCCTTGGGGTCACGGATGATGTACACCGTCTTCACGGTCCGCTGATTCAGGTCTTTGGGCATGAACTGACGCTGGACGTGGCTTGTGAGTATTCTAGGGGAGGGTAGACTCTGGAGGGCTGCGTCGGGTACGACTTCCAGGACACCACTCTCCAGGGTGAAGGGAACATTGTCGGCGCTACCAGACAACAGCATGTTGACGATCTCAAACACCCAGTGGTGACCTGCAACAGAAGGGTAGCATGTCTCCATTTTCTTGGATTGATTGTACTGGATCATTGTAACACACAATGAATATGGACACAACTTAAACACAATTCTATATGAAAATAGTGAAATTTCTGATCTCGATAACCTAGCTATCTTAAAATCTGTTTACCTCTTCATCACTGCTTCTGGTAGATTTGGTACCAAATATGGTTGAAGAATTGTTAACTTTAAGACATATACTGGACAAAAATAGTTAGGGATATATGTAAATTTTGAAATTATGAATAATGATCTATTTGTTCATTCACATACTGATAAAATATCAATGATAAAAATACCAATATCCCTAACTTATTTTGTCCAGTATTAGCCCAGCGGATAAGTGCAGTTTTTCACTGAATTGTGCACTTTGTGTTACAAACATTAAATTTGGCATGATGGTAGCTTATACCATTCTTATTAAATAAAGACCGAGAGGCCTTGCAGATTTTATATATTTTTCATATTTTGGGGGAAAAAAGTGAAAAATGATATTTGTTTCTACTATTTTCATCATAACTTTTTCTAATATTCTCCTATTCTCAATCATCATATATCAAATTGTAGAAAATTCATAGCTGATTATTTTCCATATATACATGTCTTGTCTATCTTTAATGGTTAGGTCTATGGAAGTTAATTTATATCATGACAACCCGAAAAAGGGAAAATTGACGGACATTTTTCAAAATGGCAGCCATATCGACTACAACAGTAAAATAAGTATGAGATCATCCCATGATCTAACATTTTTTTATCATTTCTTTGGAAATTCAAAACAAAAGCCTCGCAGATTTTGGCAATATTACCAAAAAAATTGGGGGGAGGGTGTTTTTGGAATTTTTCAACATATTTTACCTTAAGTCAGTCTTAGATTTCCAAATCCTAATAAATTATGTATCAAGAATATTGCGAGAACAGATGAAAGCTTTTGAAGGAATATATACTCATGCCAATAATGGTTGTCACTCCCCACCCCAACCCCACACACACCTCACACCCCCAGCCCACACCCCCTCTCCAATTAAAACAATTGAAGGGGGTGACAACCATTATTGGCATGAGTATATCAGAAGATTTACTTACATGTATAATGTATGAGGTTGGTTGCCTATGGATCACCTATAAAAAACATATCAAAATCAACGCAAACATGTTTGATTTCAACATCAATGCCAAAGTAGCTATTTCAACAATCTGTGGCAGGTTACTCAATTATGTCTCGAGTGGAATGGTACCTAGCTTGACTGAATTAGAAAATCGTCTCCTCCACATTTGCACAGTGCAGTGCACTTTAGAGCTGCTTTTCCGCATTTGGACCTGTTTGAACAGTTTTTACACAGTATTTATTATTATTAGCATATTATAGCAGGATATTTGTATAGCAAAAAGTTCTTTCTTGTTGGCATCACACCTCATAAAACTTGTCAGTTCTGAGGAACACATGAATTGGCTTCCACTCGTCGTCCTTTTGCACTTCCTCTTTTTGTTCTTGCACTGGATTTTACGTTGCGTGTTGATATTTGTCCCAAACGACACACACTCTCTGATTGGAGTTCAGAGGAGTAGGCAAGTATTTCAAGAACACATTATAAAATATCCATCCAATGTTATTTGAGCTGCGGGTTTTAGCTTGTACCTAACTTGACTGAATTAGAAAATCGTCTCCTCCACATTTGCACAGTGCAGTGCACTTTAGAGCTGCTTTTACGCATTTGGACCGGTTTGAACATTTTTTTACACAGTATTTATTATTATTATTATATTATAGGATATTTATATAACGTACATGTCCACGAACTGATACATGCTCAAGGCGCTTGGTTTTTTCCCCCTTGATCATTGGATGTCAATCTCAACGGCACATTGTATTATCAATCTCAACTCCCGGGGCAACATACAACTCTTGCAGCCACTCGGCGCACCAAGTTATTGCAGCTTCCCTATCCTTACGAGGTACCCATTCACAGCTTGGTGGACTGGGACACATAGTCACAGCACCTCGTACAGGTTTACTGCACGTTGCTATACCCGCAGCAAGGTATGCACGTATTTATGTGGCCGACATCTTGTCATTTACCAACAGATTCATGGGTTCTTTTAAGTGCACCGGGTTGTGTACTGTACATTAGGGGTTGTGACAACACTTAAAGAGTCTGCACAGAAAGCTGACTCCAAGGTTTTTACAGCTGTTACAGGTGGGCTCGATCCCGGCAAGCTCGCTGGATCACTAGCCTGGTGTCTAAGACAGCTCGCCCACCATGCCCCCGCTCGCCCACAATGCATTTCAGCAATTCCTGGCAGCTCTTTGATGCCTTCAAAAGACTTGAAAATAGAGGTACAAGCTCTCCCTGAGAAAGTTATTGCCAGCCCCTATCCAGAGGGCTTGGTAACTCCTGTGATTTCATCAGGGATTGCCCCCAAACATAAGCCCCCTGATATACAGCTCTCTATATGTTGGATCAAAGCTGATTCTGTTGGGGGTATATTGTCCAATGTTCTCCCCTTCGTGGGGAACAAATGCTTTCTTGCTTCAATCACTTTCATGTGGTTGCTTGCTCTGTCAGCAGCACAACAAATCTCTCAAGCTGATGAATCTGTGCATTAGTGATTTCAAGTGGTGGACGAGCGAGGGAAATAAAGGTGTCTGTAATTTCAGTAAACGCGTTCCATCCATTCCAAGACCTGCTTTCCTATTCTACCAAAGGATGACACACTGTCACTTCCTGTGAAGCTGTGAAACATTGGTAGGGATTGAAAACGCTTGTTGCAGCCATGGCCAACACAACCACATTTGTGTCAACAGTATGAATGCAAAATTTCTTCCATAAAGACAAAATATATACAGACGAGTCAAGGGATGGAAACCTGAATGAGTTTTTCAGACATGAATATCACTCTTGCGTACCATCTAGATCTCATCAAGGTTCTCTACGTCCATGCACAAAATCAGTTCTTCTCAATTGCTTTGAAGACATTTCACCACAAACTGACTCAAAACCAGATGTTGACGTATCAATCCTTGATGGAGTCGCAGTAATAAACAAGCTAAAAACGCAGCTCAAATAACATTGGATGGATATTTTATAATGTGTTCTTGAAATACTTGCATACTCCTCTGAACTCCAATCAGAGAGTGTGTGTCGTTTGGGACAAATATCAACACGCAACGTAAAATCCAGTGCAAGAACAAAAAGAGGAAGTGCAAAAGGACGACGAGTGGAAGCCAATTCATGTGTTCCTCAGAACTGACAAGTTTTATGAGGTGTGATGACAACAAGAAAGAACTTTTGCTATACAAATATCCTGCTATAATATGCTAATAACAATAAATACTGTGTAAAAACTGTTCAAACAGGTCCAAATGCGGAAAAGCAGCTCTAAAGTGCACTGCACTGTGCAAATGTGGAGGAGACGATTTTCTAATTCAGTCAAGCTAGGTACCATTCCACTCAAGACATAATTGAGTAACCTGCCACAGATTGTTGAATATAGCTACTTTGACATTGATGTTGAAATCAAACATGTTTGCGTTGATTTTGATATGTTTTTTTATAGGTGATCCATAGGCACCAAACTCATACATAATACATAGAGAATCTCACCCAAGTGTCCACTTATATCAATCATATCAACACGATTTGATAAAGGTACAAATTTTATTTTTACCTTTATCAACAAGTGTTGATATAATTAATATCAGTAGACACGAGGGTGAGATTCTATTTATCATAAAAAATCATTCTTCATAACTTTTCAATGAAAACTGTAAATCTCTCATTCATTTTTCTCCCATATTTTCCCAAAAATGAAAAATGGCCAAAATCTACGAGGCTTTTCGTTTTGATTTTGCAAAGAAATGATAAAAAATTGTTAGATCATGGGATGATCTCATACTTATTTGTAGTCTATATGGTGGCCATTTTGAAAAATGTCCGTCAATTTTCCCTTTTTCTGTTTGTCATGATATAAATTGACTTCCATAGACCTAACCATTAAAGATAGACAAGACATGTATATATGGACAATGATCAGCTATGAATTTTCTACAATTTGATATATGATGTTTGAGAATAGGAGAATATTAGAAAAAGTTATGATGAAAAAAATAGAAAGAATTATCATTTTTCACTTTTTTCCCCCAAAATATGAAAAATATAAAAAATCAGCAAGGCCTCTCGATCTTTATGTAATAAGAATGGTATAAGCTACAATCATGCCAAATTTCATGCTTGTAACACGAAGTGCACAATTTGATCACTTATCCGCTGGGCTATATATATCGGTTGTAATAATGAAATTGCTGTTGAAATATGAATTATCATCTGACTGTACATTAACCTTGTGGTTTGTCATGGGATTACTAGCATCCTGAATGATAATTTTGTGGTTTATTTACCTTTGTAAATTGTATTGGAGCGGCATTAATATAAGCTTGTAGCTTGTTTGCCAATCCATTCGTTTCTCGAATAAATACGTTTAAACCATATAGACACAAACGTTATGGTTACAGGATTCCGTTGCTTTGTCGAGGACGAAGTTGGCGTCGCCAGCGTAGAACAATCGCTTTAGAAAATGTATTGTCAACCATAGCTATATCCTACTGTTACATCTTATAATTACTGAATCGTGGATAACCATGTTTCTCGAGATTACCTTGTATATATGTCAAATACCTTTATATTATTGTGATTGGGAACACTCACACACTCCCTCTCTCATTCTCTCCTTCCCTCCTTCTGTTCAATCTCTTTCAGTGAGTGAGTGGGTGAGTGAGTTTAGTTTTACACCGCCTTTAGCAACATTCCAGCAATATCACGGTGGGGACACCAGAAATGGGTTTCACACATTGTGCCCATGTGTGGGATCGAACCCGGGTCTTCGGTGTGATGAGCAAACGTTTTAACCACTAGGCTACCCCACTGTGCAAGAAGGTTTAAAAAAATACTAAATTCAACTTTTATAAAACAATTATTTAACAGAACAGTCACCTTTAAAAATTATCAGTAGGTAATTGTAAATTTTCAAATTTAGATAATGCCAATTTGTTTACGAGCGAACGCATTAACCACTATTCTACCCCACCGCCCCTCGATCTCTTGCGGATTACGTCCAAATTATGTATTTAATGCGCCAGAAATTTAGTGCATAAAGTGTATTCCCTACTCGGTACGCAGATGAATTTTTTTTAACCGACTTAAAAAGTGTCTGTGTAGAGTTTACACGGGAAACAAAGCCCAAAACCCCACAGTGCGTTTGGAAGAAACTATAAAATTACATTAGATGCCACGCATCTGTACAACCTTTGCCAGTTATACGTACAACTAGTAATATACATCTGTGCATAAAAAAAGCACCACCCTGTATTTTTACCAATTAATTTTGTCTGAAATGAAATTCTAAACTCTTTCCAAAAAATAACCTTTATAATTTGATAAAGCAAGCATTTAACATTTCAAAAACGAAAACATCATTGAAATTACCATGTACTTTAATTAGGATAATTGCCTATATTTAAAACAGGTGTTGATTGTTGTGTGGCCTATAAATTCGGTATTTATTGTGAATGGATGAAAGTTTGTAAAGGAAAGGTTACAGTCAGACTAAAAAAAGGCAAATTTTAAAATGCAGTAAAAGTTGCTTTACAAACAAAACAAACAGATTTTAGCTGTCATTATCAGTATCCGGCAAGGAGAAGTGTTTATTCATTACAATAAACTCCAAATCATAAAAAAATTATTCCAATATCTTATTACTGTGGCCATTTTTCAGGGTTTTATTCAATTAGCAATCTGAATTGTTGGGAAAAGGTCTGAATCTTTGACATTCGGGTTCTTCCTGTTTATGCATAATTAAAGCTTACTTGATGTGTAAATGTCATCTTGGTATATACAGAATTGTTATTTTTAGTTAAAACTTAATTTAATTGTGTAGTTTGAGCAGGAGATGAATAGTTATTTGGGGTACAAATTCAGTCCCATCACATGTTCATCAACATATTCTTTCATAAAGAATAGAAAAGGTTATGGTATTTGTAAAACTGTCGGTGGATAAAGCTTCTTTAGCTACAGGTTGATTAAATTGATGGCCATACCCTAATTTTTCTGTAGCATCACACCTTATTTTCAAAATAGGGTGGTGCTTAATTAATGCACGGGTGTCTAGATATAGAACACATTACATTACGAGGTACAGGGGTCGGCACGCAGCCGGACAGACTTAAAACGTCATTATGTACCTTCACGCTACGAATATATTTATCATATATGTTAGTCTCACAACAGCACGAACAGCGTCCCAGTTGAATGTTATGGCCTGAGCCTCTCACAATGCTTATCAACGTACCTGACCTGGGGTATCCGTAGAGAAGTATGTCGTCGTCCCTGAGGATAACGTTGGGGATATTTCTCAGCGTCTCTGCAGAGAGGGCGTCCGGATACCATACCCCGTCGACATCCAGCATCGTAAGGGGGTTGCCGCTCTTGTCCGTCACTATCCTCTCCGCCATGTTGTGGCAGTAGGGTTTCAGCTTGCCTTGCTCCAAGGCTCTACTGACTGCTAGGGTCACGGATGTATAGCACTAACCTATAGCACTACACTTTAAAGAGGCAAGTCTAGATCAGCGGACCGTAAGGACGCCAGTCTGTTAGAGGAATATTTATATTTTTTTCAATTATCATATAAACTATTAATTATTACCTTAGAGACTTGTGCAAGTCTATATCGCATCATACACGACAGTTTGGGAAGACATGTGACGACTTTGGAGTTTATTTATAGCTCAGACTGTGATCTAGGTCATATCTCAGGCAATATGAAATGCCCGTTATAACATATTAATAATAACGACATTGAGGTCAGCACTGACTGCGATTGTGCACACTCATCAAGATGTAACTGAGACTGTATATAGACGTGTCCGTATGGCACCACTATATTATTCACAATTGTTTCTCTGATTGTTTGAGTTCATTGGACACAGCAGTTTGCTATATTGTTTGTGATACCTGCAATTAAGATGTTGGTCTAAAATAATAACAAACCTAAGCCAAAATTACAATAAAGAACAGCGTTAACCCAATAGTCTTATTGCGACGAGGGTAGTCGCTGGCTCCGCTGTATGCCGTAATTTAAATGCTCGTATACCAGAACGTGACGTGGCGTGATGTTACATTACGTTACATGATTATAGGTACTGGTACATTATATATGTGTACCAGTACCTACATTACATTACGTTACATAACATTACATTACATTACGTTACATTATTACAGGTACTGGTACATTATATATGTGTACTAGTACCTACATTACATTACGTTACATAATAATACATTACGTTACATTATTATAGGTACTATTACAATGTATATATATGTACCAGTACCTATATTACATTACGTTACATAACATTACATTACGTTACATTATTACAGGTGCTAATACATTATATATGTGTACCAGTACCTACATTCATTACGTTACATAACATTACACTACGTTACATTATTATTTTTACTGGTATATTATGTGTGTACCTTTGTGTGGCAGGTAAACATCCGTGAGTGTCCTCTACCTCTAGATGGTATTCAAGAGTCGTAATATAGTTGGCATCCTTGTGTTTATTCCTCAGTTGATGCTGATGTTACCATTTTCTCTGATGCAATTCAAACTCCACCTTCCTCACGGCTACATGCAACTGGTCAAATTCCTAAATATCGCCAAACCCGTGGATCGATACATCCTTCAGAGGAGGTTCAGTTCAGGCCTTTCAACACTGAAGCCTGATTATGTAATTTATCAGTATGAGAAAGTTTGTTTGTTTATTGTATCTGTTAACTGTAAATATTTACGCCTCACTCAGCAATATTCCAGCGGTGGTCCGTAAATAATCGAGTCTGGACCAGTGAATCCAGTGATCAACAGCATAAGCATCGATGTACGCAACTGGGATACAAAATCATGTGTCAGCCAAATCAGCGAGCATGAACACCGTTACGAGAAGCATGGCTTGCTGAGGACCAAGATCTTAACGTTTCTGGTCATGCTTAGTCTCAGCAGTTGTGTTCCTATGGCGTAAGGACCTTCATGTGGACATCCTCTTCCAATCGATGTTTGGCATTATAAAGCCTTGCCATAAGAGCTTAACTCATCATCATGCCACCGAACTCAGAAGCGGACGGAGTGAAGGACGCAGTGGACGAGCTGAGGCGCCAGGCTAGTGATCCAGCGAGGTTAAGGTGCCGGGATCGAGCCCACATGTGACAGGGTGTAAAAACCTTGGAGTCAACTTTGTGTGCAGACTCTTTCAGTGTTGTCACAACCCCTAGTGTACAGTACACAACCGTGTGCACTTAAAAGAACCCACGAATCTGTTGGTAAATGACCATAAGCTGGCCACATGGATACGTGTAAAAACCTAGTTGCGGATACAGCAACGTGCAGTAAACTTGGACAAAGTACTGTGGCTATGTGTCCCAATCCACCCAGCTGTGAATGGGTACCTCGTAAAGATGGGAAAGCCACTCTACCTTGGTGCGCCTATTGGCTGCACAAGTTGTATGATCCCCCGGGAGTTGAGATTGATAATACGACATCAAATATTCGAGGGGAAAACAAAAGCGCCCTTGAGCAGCTGAGCTGGATATTGACGCTATACAAATATTAGTTTAGCGGTGAAGCTACCCAATCTGCCTTACCGTTAAAGAAACGCCACAGATGACATCACGCTTCACCCTTACCCATAGAATGATGACAGTTCAGAGTGTGGCTGAGGGTGACTATGAACTGGTGTGGCTACACTGAATACCTTTATTCAAGGATTTGAACGGCATTTTGATACACATCAAGAACTTTATAGATTACGTCTTCTGTGATATGAGGAAAACGTTTCGGAATATGTTCTTTATCATCGGATTCACTCCTCAGATCGACCGCCTCCGTGGTGTAGTGGTTACAACGTCCGCCCAGAGAACGGAAGGTCGCGGGTTCGATCCCCGACCGCGTCATACCAAAAGACGTTAAAATATGGTACTTGTTGGTCCCTGCCTGGCGCTCGGCATTAATGGGTACAACAAGGACTGGTGGGCTCGGAGTCAGTATAATGTGTCTGAGTGGGGTATTCATGCTTCACTGCGGCATGGTATCTCAGTGGGCTAGCACTATAAAACCAGCTTAAGTCTGGGCTAGTACAAGCAGCCGCACATACACATACACACGCATGCACGTCGTCATATGAGCGAAATATTCCCCCAGCACGACGTTAAACCCAATTTCACCTCAACTCACTCCTCAGATCATAAAAATTGGCATCCATAAAGTTCGTTTTTAACCTGCATTCAACCGACTTGAAGCATGTCCTGATTTGAGCTATATTTTGGCCCATAACCATCTGTTTTAAGGTATCTAATCATGTAACTGATCAAGGCCTAAAAAGTAGTGCAGACAGATGTGTATTCCCAGGGGGGAGGGTTTACCATGAATTAGCTGGACACTTTATGACTTGGACGATCTGTACACACACCGTATACCAGTTTGACTACGAGGCTAAAAAAAATCGCGGATTAGTTGTGACATGATGGTTTAAAAGAAACAGAACTGCGTCACAAGTAAAATGAATAAATCTAGAAACGGTCTGTATGGCTGAGTGAGTGAGTTTAGGTTTACGCCGCACTGAACAATATTCCAGCTATATGGCCGCATTCTGTAAATAATCGAGTCTGGACCAGAAAATCCAGTGATCAACAGCAGAAGCCTCGATCTACACAATTGGGATACGAGGACATGTGTCAACCAAGTCAGCGAGCCTGACCACCCGATCCCGTTAGTCGCCTCTTACGACAAACATGGGTTACTGAAGATCTATATTCTAACCCGGATCTTCACGGGTACTGTGTGGCGGACTGGTCAGATGGGATTACCGTGTCACGATACATGTAAGTAAAAACAAGCACAGCAAAAATAACTTAGTTTCCATTCTTGCGGAAACCTAAAGGATACTGGGTAATGTAGGTTTCCGCTAGGTTTCAGTATCCGGAAACAGACAATGCTAGTTTCCGCATAGTTTACAAAACTGAAACTAACAAATCTAGGTTTCCGTCAGGTTTCTACAACTGAGTTTCCATTAAGTTTCAGGTCGCTGAAACATTCACGGAAAAATGAATTAGTTTCCGTTGTTGCGGAAACCTATTGGATACTGGGTAATGTAGGTTTCAGCTAGGTTTCTGTACCCGGAAACTGACAAGTCTATTGGTTTCAGCTTAGATGAAATGGCAAACTTAGCTTTGCGCTGTTCCAATGGGGGGACTATTTTTATTTACTGTTACACTTGCAAAATAATTTCTATATACAGAATCCAGCTAGGGTCCATGCAGGGAGCAAAAGCAATAGCCCATTTAAATACTGTACTGTTAAAGTGTTTATGGTTATATGCTAGTTTTTAGTGTACATTTGTGATGTACTAGTTATTTTACTGTCCTTCGCAGACAGGTAAGTATATAAGTTTGTTTTTTATATAATGCACACATTTACAAATTTAAATTTTCGAGGTTAGTTTCAGCGACTGGAAACTACCGGAAATCAACAAAGTTAGTTCCAGAAATGGAAATTTACAGGAAAGTATCATTGGTAGTTTCCATTGCATAAAGCAGCTGGAAACCATCATTGATGGGAACGTGAATGAAACAAACGTAGAGGAAATTACTCCATATATACCAGTATATACAGTATATATTCAGAAACCTACATTAACCTACGCTAAACTGTCTATGTATTCCAGGTATATAAGTTTCAGTTTAGTGATCTCAGTGTTTCTGTACACCAGAATTCAAATAAAAGATACTGTCACATGAAAGATTAATTTCAGGAGCAGTTAAACCTACTTTGTCTCCTTTACGTTTTGTTAGGTACACTCACAGATGCCTCAATTATTGAAGAACGCCGGGTAGGGTTCCACTAGGTTTCGGTTACGGCTTTCCGTTTGTAATTTTTTCTCAAAGTGATACATACTAATACAACTAACTGGGAGTGGTTATGCACATTACACATAGCTGTAGTAAAAAGGACAATAGTTTCGTAAATGTTCAATAAAGAACATAATACAGGCAACAACAAATTATACAGTAGACTTATAGACATAAAATATATTTAAGTTTAACTTCATCTGCCAGTGGTGAAAAATGTTAGGATTGAGAGAAAATGAAGTCAATGAACGGTTTTTTTTGCCTTTTAATTATAGCATTATCATTATTGATCCATTATCATATTTTAAGCACTTTGGAACCTCATAAATTTCTAAAATGGCTTTCTAGATATGTCATAGAGTACCTAAAATGTAAGGGAATCATATTTCACACACATTTGCCCTAAGTGTGACTTAGTACATGTTGTTTGTGGAATAATTTTGTTGAATGCTACAAGAAAAATGAAAACAAAATACAGATATCAAACTTAAAACCAATTAACGGTATAACAAAACTAATGGGCTATTACCTTGTTCGAGAAAAGTATCCATCAGTATCCACATAATGGAACGATATGCCATTCATCGGCAGCTGCCCAAAAAACTGTTCCATGTCACGTGACT